TCATTTCAATTAAGATTTTTTTATATATAGTTACCTCAATCAATTGTTTCTCAATCAACATTAAAAATTACTTAGGAGTGAACTCGTGGATTTTAAAAGTTCAGAAACTGAACAAAGCAACATATTTCAAAATTTAATAGTTACGCTTGTCTAATCAATACACTGCCAACAAAGACTGGGAAAGTGGTTACCTAATTAAGGTTTGGCAGAATAGAGTTGTTTGTCATCACCTCGATGAGGACTAAAGAAAGCAAGGATGCTCCCTGTGATAGCTAGGCTTTTGATCCTCCTTAGAGAGAGAAATGGAAGAGATGAGGTTCCTTTTTTATATGCATTGGTACATCTGCATGAAAAATTTTGTTCAGCATCTTCCTAGGTATCTTGTTTGTAACCCTGGTGTTATACCTCACTTTTTTTTCTGCTCACCAAATTAAACCTGGTTCCTTTTGACAAGTGTTTGCCATCAATGTTTAGAATCTAATCTAAATCTTTGTGCAAAGACTCAAGTTACCTAAGTGTTTTATATCTATCTGAAGTTTCTGGATTTCTTGTGAGATGGGAAGATTAGCACTTATAGTTGATAAGTTAACTTTATTTCCTAAAAATGGATTAAATTCTCAAGTTTCTTATTTTTTGCAACACAAATGTTTGCACTCATGAGAAAATTCAGCTGACATCGTTTTGGGAAATCAAGGAAATAAATGGCGAAAACAGCTGTAAGGAAATTAATATTTGGCTAGTTTGCTTGGAGTACAGTGAATTTCTCAGTCAGAGCAGAGTTTCTATCTGCTACAACCATTAATTTTGCTGATTTACTGTAAACATTTGAAATGGCATAAGAGAGCCTAATTTCCTGCCTTTCTTTTAGAAATAGTACTGCCTGATTCCCACATGCAGCCCACTTCAGCTTGGAGTGCTTATTGGTACTATTTATTGTTCTTGTTACGCCTGGGTAGAGTTCTTTGAGCTCCCACAGGTCACTGCAGAGAGGAACCTGCAGGTCTGTGAGGCATCCCTGAACATTGAAAGTTCAAAGCTGCTTAGATTCAGAAACCATCAAGATCCCATTCCTCAGAATCTCGAAATTGGGAAGTTTGTGTGTTCTGGTTTGTGACTCATGAGGTGCAGGTTATACTCTATAGGAAAGAAGTGCAAAATTGCCTTGATTTTGTCCAAGAATGAGAGTTTCACAGAACTTCAGGAGCCACTTTAAACCTCTTGTAGTGACAAGATCAGATGACAAGCACAGTGAAACACTAACTCCAGTTAGTGACGCCAGAGAGCTGTGCTGTTCAGCTGCACTCTGTGTATCCATCATCCCCGGGGCAGCTGCTGTGAGTCAGCAGCTGACCCAGAGCCCAGGACTGATCCCTCCCTGGGATGGCTCAGGAGAGGGGGGATAACATGTCTGTGCAGGACAGATCAACACAGAGGGGCTATGGATGAGTAATTCCCATGCCCAGGGATGGGGGGAAGCACCTTCCAACAAGGGCAAAAAAGTAAAACGCTCCTAGACATCAGGAGTAGAGCCAGGATCTGTCCTGCTGACAGAACAGCAGACCCTGCTCTCTGTAAAAAGCAAACCTGGAGAAATTTCTGCGCTTGGTCTTTTGGGGAGTGAGTGAGGCAAACTGGCTGGGCTTGGACAGACAAGATGAGGTGGTCTGATCAGCAGGTTGTGCTGTTGTATCTTTGGAAGCTGTGCCCCAGAACTCCTCCCAGCTTGCCACAAATTCCTTATGGCAATGTGCACATTTGTCAACAAATTAAAAAGATCTTCTAAGACCTTTTAAAAGATTTCTCTTTTTGAACTCTTAGGCTCATATTCATCCTGTCCTGCAATTAATGCAGTTTATGTCATTTATGATATTACATCTGATCTGATGAGACTTCCATTCTAATCATCACCTTTTGTCATTATTAGATCATTTAAGTCTACATGCTGATCTGATTAAGTCATTCTAGTCTCAACCTCTACCTCTGATTTAAGGTGGCAATATCTAAAAATATTTAACCTTACATTAATGAAACTTTGAGTAGCCAGCAGCATGTTTGTAAGTGTCCAGGAGCCAGTGCTAGGGGGCTTGATTATTACTGTTAGGAGGTGAGAATTTTTCTTTTACTAGCTTGTTTCAACAGTCCAGGAGAACATGTTCTTCAATCATTCTAGACAACTAAACTTCATTTTCTGTTTTATAACCCAAATAAAAATGTCATTTTACTTGTTTCCTGTTAACTCTCCGAAACATCTTGTGCCTCTGCCTTGGCCAAACAAACAGTCCGCACACTGTGGTTCTGTTGGACAGCTAGAAACTGTTTGCTCATTTTGTTGACCCAGTTCCAGCCAAGCAGTAAATGTGGAATACAAAAAATTCCAATTGTCTTGGTCAAAGTCAGAAGAATCGGGTTGTCTGTAATATTTAGTTGCCAGTGCCCAGAAAAATGGGTGTGAATACTTTCCAAAAGAAAAGCTTTAAAGAGCATATGTGATTTTAAGGATTACCATGAGCAAGAGGATTATTATTTGAGAGACAAAGGGAATAAGAGATTACAGCACATTAAAAGAGAGTTGTTTTACATCAAAGGTGTAGGATGGTTACACACTTTGTATAATACAAGGCATTGGCCAGAGAGCCAGACAGTTGGGATTTAGATTGAGCTCTCAAGCTCTTTCAGCTTTTCTGATTTCAGCTCTATATAGCAGTGTCTGAAATATGCAAAGATGTTTTCATTCAGAAGAGAATTAAGCAACAATAATCAGCTTACAGATTTCTGTTCCGTGATATGCTGAAGAAAAGAGAAAAAAATCCAGACATTTAGGTCAAATATAAAAAGCCTCTGGGCTGTTTGGAGTGAGCATCCAGTTGAATGATTCCAGGAAGAAATTTCTATTAAACATCCCATCAAAATAGCCTCTTCTCTTTGGCAATTAAACATTTAGTGTCCTTCATCTTGTCTTGAGATTTGTTTCCATCATCTGATCGCAGCTGAAATCTGAAAAAAAAATTTTGAGTATGTACTTTAAAATTATTGTGCAATATATATTTAAGACTAAAAGTTTTTATTATCTCATAAATTTCATATTAAGAAAATTTACAATCAGCATTATTATGGCAATAGATCAATATGGTCTAGCCCAAAGGGCAGGAGCTTAATTCTCTTGCATCTCATTTTTCTTCCTCTGCCTGCAGATGTAGCTTGTAACTTACTTGTAGGTCAGATTTGAGCCTCAAAGCTGTGACAGCATTCCTGTAAATATGTTTGCAGCTGAATGACAGTTCCACATTGTCTGTCCCAAGAGCTGAGCACAGCAATTCATTAACTCTGAACTATCATCCAGCCATTTGACATATCCCTATGTGTATCCCAACCCTCTCGGGACTGGATTGGTAAGTTCCAGCATTCATCAAATAAAGCATCCGGACACATTGCAATAAGCCTACCGTTCATGTAATTAAATAAATGCAGGGAGCATGTAAATGAGTCTTTGGCAGCATGAGCCCTCGGCAGCAGCGGAGTTCGGCATTCCACTTTCCCGATGTTCCCGGTCCTGAGTGCCCCTGGGGCCGGCCCGCTGGAAGCGATGGCCTTTCTGCCCAAAGTGTAAAATGCCATCGCTTAAGGAAAGAATGTTTATAGTTCATACATCATCTGGCAGGCTTTCCTTCCTCTGGCACGGCTTCCCAGGGCTGTGGCGGAGGCAGTAACAATAGCAGGCAAACACCAGAGGGAGTTATTGTTCTTCTGGAGAAAGGAGTGCCTCAGGACGCTGGATTTTAAATAGTGTGAGGCTTCTACCCAACGAAAAATGTTCAGGTGACATGACTCCACAAAATGTAAACGGTGAAACCATTAATTCTAATCATGTTTGAAAGAGTTGGTGTTCTTCACCAGTTTTCAGTGCTGATTTCAATGTACTGCTTCTTTGTACCAAGCAGTTGCTGCTTAACACCCACTCACCCTCCAGTAAATTTTTTACATCTCTTCTCAATACTAGAGCCTTACAGTTCAGTGTCAAGAGCCAGATGAGCAGGCAATAAGAAGTAACTTTTTTCACTTGTTTATTAACGGAGTCTTTTCTCCTGGTCCATCCACACAGGCTGATACTCGGTCAGAGTGCCTGTGTCTTGACTGGTAAAGTCCATGTACCCTCAGAATCCTGGTTCCTCAGAGTCCTGCTTGTGGAAAATGACCAGGCTGCAACCATCTCCCCAGCTGACCTAGACTTCCCTGGAAGCAAATCTGGATACACAGATAGGAAAGAAGCAAGTGGGTTATCTACATACTGGAAATGGGCTGCCCTTTCAGCAGCTATACCTGCATTTTATGCCTGCTGAAAGTCTGGCTGCTTTCTGCTCATGAAGTTTCAGCTGGCCATGCCCAGGAAAAGTGCATCCCCTGGGCTCTCCATAGAGAGGCTCTTGCAACTGCTCAATTTGCAGTAACTGATTGAAAGAAAACACAGTCAGCCCCAAGGTGAATCTATGCCAGTATCTTTTAGAGGAGCATTTCAGTGAGCAAACTGACCCAATTCCATTACACTTCACACAATGCTGGGGCAGGTGGAAAGCTTCTCCAATTCACTGCTGAACTTCCAAGACAAAGGACTAAAGTGGAGAGTCACTGTCTGCTTTTTCCGTGCATGTAATGAATGCTTCTGCTCTGACTGCTTTTAGTTTCTGTTGTTGAAACGGTGCTTAACTTTCCACAGCCATTACACTGACTGTCACCTGTGGAATATGAAGCAAAGATCAGCTCACCTGTCTTTTCAGCAGAAGACTTCAAAGCTCTATTTTCTATTCTCAAAGGGGTATTCTGTAAAAATGACCCTTTCATTGATGAATATCAAAGTAAATCCCAGCTGAGCCCAATGTTAAATTGTATAACCCTGGCTTTCACAATGCTGCCAAGGTGAAGGATTCTGCAACAAAACTATTTTTCCTAACAGTTTTATTGCAGGTGTTTAAGATCTAATGGAGATGAGCCTATTCTCTTCTTAGGTGTGTCAGCTTTACAGAGCTCACCAGCACAAAAAGAGGATCTTGGCATTCTTACACTGGCGAACCTAGAAGACGCTTCATACATCCGGGTGGATGACTTGCATTGTCAAGATCTTTTAAAAGATCTGGGCGTTATTAGAGGTGGGTGCTTAACTGTTGATTCATTAAAACAGAACCATACATGAATTATCCAGGCAGTCAACCTTTTTCTTCTGGTGGGTAAAAAAGAACTCTGACAGAACTGGGTTCACACTCTTGCCTCAACTACACCAATGTGAATGTAGAGGAGAAGAACTGTATTTAGGTATTTGATGATGTAGATAAGTGAAATTCTCAGAAACCTCTATGCAGACCAGATGTTCAAGTAGTTTTGATTTTACAAATCTGTTTAAATACCAGTACCTCTGTGAACTCAGGTATGATTCCTTGGTAGCAAAGTAATTAATTGCTCCTCATTTTGAAAGTAAACATCAATATAAATCAGTATAAATTTGATACTTCTTACAATATTAAATAAAAGTTCTTATAAAACCAATTTCAGATTAGGAAAATAAAACTCCCTGGTCAAAACTCCCATAGTCAGTGTAAAGTCAGAGGTTCTCTGCACACCTTAAGTTAGACTTTAGTGGTAGCATGCTGTCTTCAGAAATGATATTGTCATACAGTATCCCTGGTCCTGTTTCAGTTTCTTTCTCCCTCCAACTCTATTAATACAGCTGTTTTCAGGACCCGTGCTGTGAATATGGACTTAAATTTAAAAAAAAAAATAAGAAAGAGAGAGAAAGGGCGGTGAACAGGGGAAACTGCTACCAGTAAAGACAACTGCCATCAGATCTTGTCCTTAATACATGCTCTGGAAGGAGCTGAAATGATCCTTTGTGAACAGCCCATTTACTGGGGACATTTCCATTACAGACTTTCAAACACGTCCGTGTGTCATTTCTCTGTGACTTGCTCACAGCTCCTGAGCAGTGCAAGTGTTTCTTCTGCAGCAGCACTGTAGCACTGATGTGATGGGAAATAACCTTTTTTCTACAGCAGCCTTTATGATGAATACTGATGTTTGGCCTGGAGAACATTGGCTTGCTGGGGAATGGATAGAAGCTGCACAGGAGCTTGTGGCTGTAGCAACTGTCCTGTATTAAGTACAGATAGCCAAAACAAACTGTTTTATAGACCTGAAACAGTATGTTGTCACCACCCAAAACATAAAATCATGGTAAATAGCTCTTAAGACAAAAGTGCCACAGCAAACATTGGAACTGTCATATTTGTGCAAACCCAAGAGAAGTATAAACAGTTAAAATCTGAAATGCCAAGCATGACTTACATTCAAAACTATTCACTGTGATATTACCTTAAAGCTCAAAAGGCTCTGCCAGGAAGGTTGCAGGGACAGCAGAGGAGGCATTTGTAACATAACAAGTCATTTCTCACTAAGATCTTTCAGGATCTGGGTCTGTGAAAAGAAATCTTCAATTGTGAGAACAAGGGAAAAAAAGATCAGCTTGGCCTTGGGAAAATATGGCTTGTAAAGCTCATATAGCTCTCCTTTAATAACACATTTTTAGATACCTGTGCTTTTGAATGCCTACTTTAAAGAACACCCACCCTTTGGAGACCTTTCATGAGGACATATAATCTATGATAAAAATTTATTTTAGTCACGTCAGTGTGTGTGTCCATATGTCAGACTTCTCTTCCTCAACAGGGAAGAGAAGCACTGGACAGTATTCCCAGTGGCAGCACAGAGACTGATTCCCAGGAGTAAAACTCTGAATGACTCTTACAGCCCATCTTTTATGTTTTCTTCATTTCCATCTGAAGTTGTTACATCAAGGTATTAAGACACTTCATTTGATGTTTGTGGTCTTCTGAAACTGAAGCCCTTCCATCTCATCTGAAATACAATGTCTACATTTCTGCTACAGCATATTTTCCTTATCTCAGCTGTGTCAAAACCCATTTAATGGGTTAACCCAAGGTAAATCCAAATGATTTAAATATTAAAAACTCATCACTCCTTTGAATCCCCTGAACAGTTTATTCCTCTCATTTCAGTAAAGAATATTTCTTTAGCAAGTTTACTGGATGCCTTCAGAACTTAATGAAAATTTATCACCCTTAGCCTGTCATCAAAGTCATCAAAGTGTTTAATCAGTGTCTGCCAATGCTGAGCTGTTAGCATCTACTTGTCCCCTTTACTACAACACCTTAGTTTGATTTATGCAGCTGAATGTGCATCAGGAAAGTTTCATAGGCCTCAGCCTGGGATTTGCATGAGGTTACAAACTCAAACCATGTTCAGGTTTGTCGGGAGCAGTCCCAGAGCCAGTTCTGTCTTGCTTCTGCTGTGTCCAGTCTAATCAGTGTTTCTCACTGGAGCCTGGATCCATGAGGAGTCCTTTGGGAACCCAAACTCTGTCTAGCTTCTTTTGCTAAATTGGAGAAGCAAAGGTTTAAATGGACCATCCTGAATCCTGTCTTACTTCCACTTTCCAGGATCCTTTGGGAGTACATTTCTCACCCTAGTTCTGGTGTTGGCTGCAGAAAAGACAAAATGTAAGCAGGACACACTTTTGTATATAAGTTTAAGGGACCTCTTTATAATAATGTGATTGCACTGTGATGGCAGTAACAACGTCCATTTCTATCATTCTGTTTTTCTTCATCCCTAAAATGGCACACAAAACACACCCAATCCAGAATGCACTGTGATTCATATGAAAGCCTTGCCCAAGCGTGTACTTGACAGCTCTTGTGCTTTGCTGAGGATTATTTCAGGGGGCAGTGAAGGACAGAACAACTGAAGGCTGAAGCTGTTTGTATACACACAGATGTGTATTCCTGGGCTAACATTTCCCTGCCCGACCTCAGGAAGACTAGATGAAACACAGCACTAGCTGCTGAGTCAGTGAGGCTCTTTGAACTGATAACTGTGGCATGTTCTGTGATGTGGTTTGCCTGGAAACATATTTGTTTCTTTTGAAAATACAAAATGACATCAGTTGTAGTGTGCACTGAAAAACCTAGGCTGAGATGGCAAGCTGTTTCAGTCCATAAATGATTGCAGATGTTTGGGTGAGGCTGCAAAACACGAGGCTTTTCAAGCGTGTACATTTGGGGAAGGAAGCTAGGGACACATATAAACATGAACATAATTGTTATATATTGCAGCCTGTCAGCTGGTCCCATTTTGGATTGGCTATTATTAAAGATGTGCAAAAGTAAGTGGAAACTATGATAGCTGCAATGCATCTGGTTTAGTGAGTGTTTTCTATTTCTGACCCTATAGGCTTTCTTCTCTTTTTCTGATGCCAGTTACATACTAAACACATAGAACTATCAACAGGCAGAAAAAGAGGCCTAGGAGGTGTACTACTGGTTCTTATTATCACCAGATTGCAAAAGCATATAGCCTGAGCTGGTTTTCAAGCAGGCTAAGTCGCAGCTCTATGTCCCAGGAGCCTGCTTTGCAGAGCAGGATCTGGATGGTACCAATTTACAAAACTCTCTAAGTTTGTGATGCCCTTTAAGAGAATGAGTCATTTGTCAGAGTCACAGGCCTGGGAACAGGATAGAAAGAAGAGGAGCTACTAGATATAGAACTATTGGCATTAGGTCTTCCTCCTCATCTTCATTAGGTCTTCCTCCTGGTCTTCCTCCTTCATCTTCATTTGGGCTGTTTGGCCCTGAGTTCCAGAAGGAAGGTCCAAGTGGTTCTTGCTGACACAGACAGCATCAAGAAGGTGAGTGACAAGGGCTGTTGGAGGACATGGACATCTTCTTCCCAGCCATAAGCAAAAAACAAGTCATTGTGTGCCTTCACCTTCAAAAAGCTAATGGCAGGCAAAATCTGTCATGACAATTTTTGGTTTTTTGTGTCACCTCTTTGGGCCAAATTGCAGCCTTTTAATAGCTTGCCATGTGATAATTCTAACAAATCCTTCATCTGACTGGCTCAGCCTTACCCTCTATGCAGCTGTGGGCAGAGTGAGGAGGGCCTTGCTGCAGTGTGTTTGCAGTTGTTCTGCAGCATTATCTCTAGTTATGTGTTGAGTTCTTGTAAACCCAGCTACTGACATCTTTGCACTCCTGTGTTTATTACTGATGAAAAATTAAAAATAAAGCTTCAAGTATTAACATAGCAAAAAATTAAAATTAAAAATTAAAAATTAAACTGTCAACTACTTTTTCAAAGTTGTCCATTTTATGAAACTGCAACTTTTGCAATGTGCAGTTGGAAGATGGATAACATAATTTCTTTCCTGATCAGTGTTGCTCTTTTCTATTTGACAGACATTTTATTTTAAAGTGTGGGTTTGATACAAGTGTGCCAAAAGTGTTAAAATTGAAGTGCAAAAGACTAGGGGAGAAAATCTGTGGTTTTTATGAAATGTGAAAAACTATTTAGATGTTTTGTTTTTACTCCATGGATTCAAGAAGCAGTGATGCAAATAAATCAGAATCTTTTTTTTCATTAAAATAAATTAAAATCTCCTAAGGAATATCACATCAGACTAGTAAGTAATTGCACGTAATTGAGACTCACAAGTGAAAAAAATGGGTTTCAGGTACATATATTCAAAAAAAGTCTGTTAATATTGATTGTGTGTGCTAGAAGGCACAATTTAACCAGTGATTTCAAAATTCATCACTGATATTCTGTTGTTTGTTCTTTTCTCAGTACCCCCAACTTCATAAATACGTTTCTGTTTAAAATGTCTTCTCAATGTCTGAAAGGTTCAGTAAAACTTAGCAGCTGGGAGGAGAAAGATGCACAAAGTCTTTGTAGGTTCTGTCCACACAAACAGTAGCAGACAGCAATTTAGATTGAAACTGGTGCCCCAAGTGGTACCAGGGACTAAGGGTTTCATCAAGAGCAGAGTTATTCATAGGAATAACTGAAAAACGTTGGGACAGCCCACATGACTGGAGGACTGTGATGGATGGCTATAGGCCGTTTCAAAAAGGCAGGGCAAAACTGGAGGAGTCTTGCTTTTGATCTAGGGGAAGTTCTGATGCATAGAAGTCAACCACAGGAACTGTGGAAGCTCTACAGAATGCCCTTATGCTCAGAGAAGTCATCTTCAAGGGGAATGTTTCAGTAGACAACTTCTACTGACCTCCAAACCAAGACA